AAACCCCCCCCCCCCCCCCCCCCCGCTCCCCCCCCCGCTGCCCCCGCCGCTGCCCCCGCCGCCGCCGCCGCCCCCCCCGCGGGGCTCCGCATTGCTCCTGGCGACGGCGCAGCAGGCGGGCGGCGTCGGGGACCGCGGCGGGGTGAGGGAGCTCCTGCGGCGGCAGAAGGCCCGGTAGGGAGCCCGTCGCTCGTGCGCGTTAACGGAGCCTGGGCGGCGCCCTTCAACCCGCTGCTTGAGGGGACGGCGAGGGCTGGTGCTCGGCAGGGGCTCTGAGGCTGCCTCTCCGTTGCTGTTGCAGGTTCAGCCGGGATCTGACGTGGCTGCTGTTCCTCCGGCCCGTCCCGTCCCTCATCCAGGAGGGCCCGCAGTGAGTATCGCCCGGAGAAGCTGGTGGGGCCTGGCCCGGCCCTTTCCTGTATTATTAGTCCCTCCGGCTGAAGATGAAAGGATGCCGAGCTTTGTGCAGCGGAGAGCCTTCGGTTTTCTTCCTCCTGCAGGTGTGGCTTGGTGGCCCTTTGGATGGCCGGTGCTCACCTCGGCCTGTCTTCGGAGGTTCCCCTGGAGAGAATTCGGCAGGTGGCTTTGGAGAGAGGCTACACGGCACAAGGAGAAATGTTCTCAGGTCAGTAGCTGAGAAAGACAAACAGGCGCCTCGCAAACCTCTCGGCTCTAGAGGGAAGGCGGCAGCGGGCGAACCACTGGTTCAGCTGCTCCTTTGGGTCCCGTTACGCTGGGCGCCAGTTGGGTCGGGGGCTCCTTTGTAATGGCCCCATCATTCCACTTGTCACCCCCTCAGCTGCTGACATGGCCAAGCTGGCTGAGGAGGTCTTCCCCTGTAAAACAGAGCTGCTCTCTGGAGGCCTGCAAGGACAGAACCATGAGAGGATTCTTCAACATCTCAGGGCTGGCTTCCCTGTGCTGATACCGTATCCTTCTCTAGGGAAGCGTTTCCACTTCCTTCAAGGCTTCTCTGAACTTTGAAACTGCTTATTGAGAAAGCTGAGACTTTCAGCGGGCCTCTTGCTAGAGGGAGAAAGAGCCTTTTCAGCCAAGTCAGCCGGTACCACCGGGGAGCTTCCTCTTGAGCCAAAGTCTCCCTTAATGCCTACTGCAGCTACGACGAGGACTACAACCACGAGCCCTGCCTCCGGAAGGGCTACAAGGCTCACTGGGCTGTCGCCTCTGGTATGCTCTGCTGGCTGGTTGTTAACCGTCCACAAGGGGGTGCTGTTGCCACACTGGAATTGTGGGTTGGGGTTCATCTGGGGGTGTCCCAGAGAAGAGATTTGTGCTTTGCTTTGGGGGAGAAACAGGGAAGAGCGGCATGGCCCGCCCATGTCCCTGGATGGGGATTCTGGGAATCGTGGTCACAGCACAACTGACGGATGACCAGGTTTTTTGGGGGTGGGGGGTTAAGATCCTAAGGCATCTGTTGTGGAAGGGAGGTGGGTTGGAAAGGACATGTGGCCAGGGTTAGATTTCAGCATCAGCACTGGCCTGCGTGGACAGCAGTAAAGGCAGCCCCCCCTTCCCCCGTTCTACTGAAGGCCCAGAAATCTCTTTCCCACCCCCACCCCCCTATCTCATTCCTTTCCCAGGAGCTCTGCTTGGTCTGAAGAGTAACTTCCGCCTGCCTGCCTGCCAGGAAGACGAAGACATCCCGGGGCTCTTCCACGCCAGCCACACTGCTTCAGCCATCCCTTTGGAGGCCGTTGCCGAGACCTACTTGCTGTCAAAGCATGGCAAGAGCTGCCGCTACCAGCTGTGGAGCTATGCTCAGATACAGGAGAGCAACGGCCAGCTGACGGGCTTCAGTCCCCAGCGGGCAGCCGACGGGAAGGTGTACATTGTGCCCGCAGGGGGCGTGCGAGAGGGACTGTGTGGACAAGCGGTGCTGCTGCGGCCAAAGGCATGAGGGCGCTCCGGTGGCATCAAGTTGGCACTAGCTTTGCAGAAGCACCATTGGGCTGTTAAAGGGTCTTAGAGAAACGCATGGGAACTGCTGACATTTAGCAATGCCTTGAGACAGGGACATTAGGAGGCGAGAAAAAGAGGTGTCCTCCCTTCATGCAAAGCTCCAGGACGCCTGAACAAGGTTGGGGAGAGACAAGCTTATATTTGGAGCTCACTTATGCCAACCAACCTGGCATTAGAACTTTGTGTTTCAAGAGAAGGAAGAATGGAGGAAAGGCTTTAGCTTAAATTTCCTCTTTTTGCCTTTAGAAATTAGAATAGCTTACTGTTCTGATTATAAATGAAACCAACTTTGAAACTAAGCAGGGGGGAATAGAAATGCCGGTGTGAAAGTCAAGTGACGGCCTGCCTTTTCACCCTGTGCTGGTGTTAATAAAGAGTGCGGCTCTCTGTGACACGTTGGGCCTTGGACTGTGTGATATTCAGAGCCTCGCTGGTTGCTTTTCCCTCCCTCTTAGCCGTCACAACTCCCTCACTCTTTACAGCCGGCCCACAAACTTTACCTTAAAATGCCTGGCTTTTAAAACAGCCTCTCCTTCCCCGTTCTGTGCCAAGTGACTGTAAGAAATGGCTTGTTTTGGATGCTTTGAAGTTCCCACCTCCGAGGAGCCAGCAAGGCAAAGGTCATTTTGAATTTGAGATGCTCTTTCCAGATTTTTCTTGGAATTGGGGTCCCTAACCTGTGGGCCACAGGCCACTACCAGGAAGTGGCCTAATCACTACCTGTCTGCGTGAGGGCCAGCCAGTCTGCATGCATTTGTGCTCACTCACAGCCCCACTTGAGTGAGCGTCACTACATCACGAACATTTACAGCCCCACTTGCGTGAGCATCGTCTCAAACATCACAGGCGCTCAACCCATGCATGTGCCCCCCCAAATCGCCCCCTCTTTCTCACCACCACACCATTCCAGGCTGCCAACCCAGAAAGGTTGGGGATCTCTGACCTAGAGTGCCAGCCGTGGATCGTTTGAACGTATTTATTTAATCAGCCCTGCAAGCCTCCCCAATCAGACTTGCCATTCTAGGTGTTCTTTTGATTGGTTAATGAAGGGGAACCAATAAATAAGAGCCTTCCTAGCGATCCCCCTTTGTATTCCTAGTGCAGAGACAGGGCACGTCTTACGGTTGAAAGGAAGGTCAAAAGGAACCATTTTCATCATGATGTTTCTATACACATTTACATCCAGCGCGTGACATGGAAGTTCTTCGCCTGAGCTGTTTTTTCAAGCATGGAAAGATGCACCATAAAGCCTCTTGATTGATGGGTGTTTGAGAAGTGCCCCCTCCTCTTTTAAGAAGAAATGTCAGCATTGGTACTCTTAACTCTCTTCCTTCCGCTCGTTCAAAAATTGTAGCTTTGCTGCCTTCTCAAAGCGCCAGGGTATTCTCTGTACATTGGGGTTGCGGCTTCCAAGAGACAGGCCAACTCTCTCCTGGGGGCCTCTGGCCACCTGCGCTTCCATAAAGATTGACTGCTGGGCATTCGGAATGCTGCTGCCAGGTTTTCTGGGTAGCTGCAGTCCCAGCCTAGACATTCCTGGCGTCTCTTCTCTGGCTGAAACTAAGTCAAGAGTCACTGGGAGTAAGCTGGCAATATGTTGCTCCTCTGGTTACGTCGGGCTTGTGTCCGTGGCGCTGTCTGGTTTCCCCAGCATGCTCTGCATGATTGCCATGAGATTTTCCAAGCCCCACAGGTATCCATCTTCACGGTTGCCTTCCACCCAGGGCAGCCGGTGGGTCAGGGTCTGTTTGTCAGGCAGCGGCACCGTCTTGCCAAAGTCAATCATCCAGACTCTGGCAAGGCCCGTTTTGTCATGCGCAAAAAGGAGGGAGCTGCCTACCACCTGGAAATGGAGAGAGGGGACTCAGCACGGGCCACGAAGGTGCCAGACAGATGCCCGCCTGAAGATGCCTGAAAATGTATCTTGCTTAGCAGAGTTGCTCCCAGGCATCTAAAGAGGGTTCACTGAACCAGCCAAAGTATCAAGCTAGAAGGATGCCACTTGTTAATCCTAACATGTGCCAACCTAGCCAGAAGAGGCATCCAGGTAATGGGGCAAGGCTGCCCTTCTGGGAGGTTCTCCCCAAACAAAGGCAAAGACGCACCTCATGTGCCTCGAAGAACTTGGACTGATCCAGTGCCGCCCTCACCTCCTGCAGCTGGTCCAGGTAGCTGCTCTGTGGAGAAAAGAAAGACCTTTGGGAATGAAGCAACCGCAAGCTGAGCTGGGGATCCTTCCCACCGACCCCCTGTCCAGGGAAGAGGCCCCTAGCTCAGCTCAGAGCTTCACAGGCCGGAGCAACAAAGCGGCTGTATCTTCAACCCCCGTGAGAGGCTCTGCTGCTGGGACTGCCGGGCCATCAAAGCTCTCACCAGAGCAATGGAGCAGTTCTGCAGCAGATCCCCAGGCAGAGCGGAAGGACTGAGGGAATGTTGTCAAGGGCCCTCCCACGGGGGCTCTCGGAGTTGGAAGCACCCCAAGTCCCACCTTCCCCTGGGCAGAAGCTGGATCCTCACCAGTAGGCGTTTGTCCTTGTCCAGGAAGTCCCAAAAGGCCTCCACGACCTGCTCAGGTTTCCGGGTCCTCTTAAAGCTGGTGCTGCAGGTGCCACTGGCCCTCTGGGGATGCGGGTGGGGTGGGGGGGAGGAAGAGACTAGTCAGCCTTTTCCTAGATCAGAAAGCAGACTCCAGAGGAAGAGCAGGAGGAAGCTCTGTGGAGACGGCTCTAGGAGCAGAATCTTGCTGGTCTGCATGGGAGGGGGGTTCCTCTCCACTGCTTATGCTCCGGGGGGGGAGCCAGCCTGGGCACAGGACCAGAGGTGTTATTCGGCAGGTTCTCACCAGTTCTGGAGAACCGGTAGCGGAAATTCTGAGTAGTTCGGGGAACCAGTAAATACCACCTGTAGCTGCCCCCCCCCCAATCTCTTCTCTGCCTCTGGAGTCCCAGCTGATCGGGAGGAAATGGAGATTT